GGACATTTCAGCCAGCAAATAAAATCCTCTGATTTCAGTAGAATTTACTTCCAAGTATGGAGCTGCGGTGGCTCAAGTGGTTAAGACGCTGAACTGCAGGCTGTGGAAGGTCGGTACTTCAGCAGTTCGAGACCGTGTGCCGCATGACAGAGTGCGCTCCCGTCTCTAGTTCCAGCTCCTGCCAACCTAGCAGTTTGAAAGCAAGAACTTGCAAGTAGATAAATAGGTACCGCTTCGGTGGGAAGGTAACAGCGTTCCGTGCGCCTTGGTGTTTAGTCATGCCGGCCACATGACCACGGAAAACGTCTTCGGACAGCGCTGGCTCTTCGGCTATGAAACGGAGATGAGCACTGCAACCCTAGAGTCGGATTCGACTGGCTTTCGAGCAAGGGAACCTTTACCTTTAAGTATGGTTAGGAGCACAGCAAAACAATCTCCACCACAAAAACAGAATACTTTCCCACAGGCACATATAAACATGCTACTTTTTTTTACCATCTGAGACACTGAAAGAACACCTGGAACCCAAATGACTATTAATCCAGGAACTGTTAATTGAACGATTGCATTGGACTTTCTAATATCCCTTCTGTACAAATAATTCAAGGGGGATTAAAATAAGGCATCAAGAATTCCTGGTCCAATCAAAAATCCCATGGCAATCCAGAATACGCTTTCCCCTCTCGTTCTGAGTAGAGGATGCCATAATCAAACAGTCTTCTGTGATCAGCATCGAAAGGAGCTCTGGAGAAAGCACGGCGCATATGACTTTTCCAAAGGAATTTGTATCTCAGACATGGAAGAGTAGAAAAAGTATACAGGAAAGATGCCACGCGGAAGACTGAAAACAATGATTCAGGTCATTAGATAAATACAGAGAGAACCTACAAAAACACCATCACATACAGGAAAATATTCCATTGGCTGTGTGTAGCTAGGGAGTTTTGCTTGCCCTGGAACTGAACTAGTGGTGGAAGGAGAAGTCACTATGGAGAACTGTGAAATAGGAACCATTCATTCCACGATGGTCACCGCAATTGGAATTTTGCTGGGGAGAACAATTCTAACCTTTACTCAAGTCATGAAGCTTCTCGGGTGACTCTGGACATAGGAAGCTGCCTCCTGCGGAATCAGACCACTGGTTCATCATGATGAGCATTGTCTCCTCAGACTGGTGATGGCCCTCCAAGGTAGAGTTCTTTCGCATCACCTGATTCATGATCCTTTTAACTGGAGAGGCCAGGGACTGAACCTACAACATTCTGTATGCCAAGCAGATGCTCTACCACTGAGCCATAGCCTCTCCCCAATCAGACAGACCAATCACACAAATATACACACAAACTTAAATCATCTTTCAGGACTGGGGGCGGGGGGGGGCAAGAACAGCAAATTCTACCCTGAGCTCCTTGGGAGAAAGTAAAGATACATGTAACAAGTTCTTTGCCTTTATGGCCAAGGCTCACAGCACACTCTGCGGCATACACCCCCCCCCCAAGACTTAACTTAGAGCGGCATACTGCAGCAAGTAGAGACAGAGTTCTGGTGGCTATGTCTTTAATATACTTTTAGTAACTCAAGCAACTACACATGAAGGTGGATTACCGACTTTAAGCAGACACTGCATGCCTAGCTAGAAGGATGTCTCCACATGCTGCCCATTTGAATCCACTTGCTGTACAAGGCTGAGTACATGAAAGCCAGTTGTGTGGGTTAGGAGTCTAGTTGAACAAATGGAAGAAAAACACGCGTTCTCTCACTTAATTCCTTGAATAGACTGCTTACAGCAAAAAGAACTTTGGTGTGGGCAACACAGCTTAGAATCTGTTGTAAGGCTACAGTATTGGTTAGAAAATGAAGTTGAGACATTTGGCAGGGAAAGTAACAGTGTGGTGGAAGCAGAAGCCTAGGGTGCGCTGTAAGTCAACTATGGCCCCAGTCACACTGGGGGGAAAGGTGCGGCTGAAGTGCGGCTTTTTTGAGCCGCATCAAAAGAGAAGCGCGGTGGCGGGATCAGACAGATCCCCCGAGCCGCCGCACAGTTGCTCCCCGGAATGATCAGATGCAAGAGGGAAGCCACAGACAGGAGACCGAGACGAGGCTGCTGCGCATGTATGCACCTGCGCAGTTCGGCAGGGGTCCTCACATGCTGTGGGAGACGGGTGCGTCGGCGATCACACGACCGCCCGTGCCGTGGATTTTCCGGTAGGTAGTAGTGCTTAGCAGGTTTATTTTAACTCCGCATCTTCGGCCGGAAGAGACGGATCGGGGTCGGGTGCGCACCGCTTCCCAGATGTTGCGGTGTGATCGCGCCCGCTTGATGTGCCCCCGATCCGTCCCTCTTGCGGATCTAATCCTCCCGTGTGACCGGGGCCTACATACTTCTAAAGGTGTAAATAACACAAACACTACACCTTGTTTATCTTACTAAATCTGTCTCTATTTCTGGCTAACAGCTCGTCCATCTTTTGTCCTCCCACAGCTTATTACTGTTTATAGTTTTGCAATGAGGCTGGGTAATCAGGTTCTCCTTCTGCATTAACAGCTACCAAAAGGTGTCATTTCCTTGTCTCAGGTGTTGCAAATCTGAATTTCAACGACGTCCATCAGCCCCAAAGAGAGGACTGAACCCTGTACACGCCAAACCTGCGGAATGCACACTGAGTGGCCATGGAGAAACAGAATCACGTCCAGAGGATTTTCAAGTATTTGGTATTTCTGGTATTTCTGGCCACTGTGGGATACAGAGTGTTGGACTGGATGGGCCTTTGGCCTGATCCAACATTGGCATCTCTTATGTTCTTAAGTTCTTAAGTGTGTTCAGAGAGACAGAGACAGAGACAGAGACAGAGACAGAGACAGAGAGAGAGAGAGAGAGAGAGAGAGAGAGAGAGAGAGAGAGAGAGAGAGAGAGAGAGAGAGAGAGAGAGAGCATGCAACTGACTTGTTTTCTCCTCCCTGCAGAACGATTTGCCCACGGGGAAAAAAAAAAGTTCAGTTATCCTTCTCTCTGTGGAAGCTACTCCTATTTAAGAGATAACAAAAGCAATCCCTCCCTTCCTCCCATGGGGTACAGCAAGCACTGATCCATTCATTCTTTACCACACTGATTATCAGTCACATCTAAAACTGTTCTCTCTTAAGTCAGAGGAACAACTGCTGTTATAGATCTTAGAAATACTTTATACTGTTGGGAAAGTTCATAAAGTTATTACGCTTTGAAAACGAACTACTACCCAACAAAGCTATCCACAGCAGAATTCTTCTTTCCACACGTCGTATGGAAAACAGTGAAGTGTAGTATGGCACCTGGTTTCTCAGGGCGGAGAAAATGACAGAAATCTGTGCTCCCATGTTCCACTAGATCCCTCTTTTTGGAACCTGTAGCTTTTCCCCTTAAAAAAAATTGATCATCAGCTTCCTTGGCATTGTTCTTCACATTATTCTGCTTCGACCTCCCTCCCCCGCCACACACAACTGTCCACATTGACTCCATGAATTTCATAAGGTTGCCATTTTTTTTGTAAAGAGGTGCAGAATTGTTCACCCATAGAGGGCAGTCTATTCCCACAATCGTTTACCAATGTATTACACCGTTTCAAGACCACCATTTTCATGATATTAATCAGGCAGCAAACTGTATCATTTTCGATCTTGCGGACTAAAGAAGGAAAGAAAACTGCAACTGATCTTCAAAAGCATGTCCTAAATGCTTTAACCCATACGTGTGCTTGATGCCGTATTAAAAGTTACCCCATAAATGCCAAGCAGCTATGCAAGGCTATTTTAGCTAGACTCATAGTACCAAGCACTCTAGCCGTGCTTGCAAAGTCGGCTAACAATTGACATTTATAAAGAAAACAAATTATGTGCCGAGGGCCACAAGTTTTCCAAACTGCATTATTTCAACGTCCATGCACTTATGTAATAAGAAAATTAAGTTAATGATGGCAGTATTGCAGACAGAAAAACAAAACTTATGCCTGATAGATTTTTTTTTATTATTATTGGACAGATGAACTAAAAGAAGCCAACAATATGATTATATGCCATCTCTCTAGCATGGGTGGGGACGGACTGCCTACCTCTTCCGTCCAGCTCCAGCTCCTCCTACTCAACACAAAATAAATGGTTGCTGCCTTTATCACTGATTTTGGACTCCAAGCTTCCCGCCGTTTTTGTCCTGGATTTGTGTCTGGGAAAGGAGGAGCCGGGAGGTCAGACGGAGGAACGAGGAGCAATAAGCAAAACAGGTTTCTGGATGCTCTGTCGAGGTTCACATGTCGAGACCAAGTTGGCTGAGAACCCAGATCCTTCAAGTGCACTGGAAGCCTTGCTGATACGCTAGTTAAACCAAAACACACTTCCTCCCGTTGTAAGCCGCTGAAGGGCTAGATGCAAAAGGTCGGAGGGGAGGGGGAGAGGAGAGCAAGAGAGCAGTTTAAGGGAAAACAAAAGATGAATCCCGAGCCGCCGCCACCCCCCCAACCCAACAAACTAGCTGCATCTTAAGCCACTTTATAAGTAGAGGTTACTTCTTATAACATCTTAAAAATGGCAGTACCACCATCCTAGAGAGACAGGCAGACAGAAATGGGGCTTTCACACAAGAACAAACAAAAAAAAAAGGGAGGGGGGAGAAGAGAGTGGGCAGACCAACCCCCCCCCCCAAAGCAGTGGCCCAACTAAAAAATGTGGTTCTTCTCTAAAAACAGCACTCATCATCATCCAACTCTTAGGGAAGAGAAAGAAAATGGGGAGCAGGAGATAAAATAGAACGGGTGCAACTTCTCGCCGAGGATGATGCATTTAACAAAAGCTCCGTACAGTCCCATATGTCTACATGTCCTGTGGTGGCAGCATAATTGCTTAAACTGTCATGGCTGTGTATGTCTGTATATATATACATATGCACATATACATACACATACACACAGAGAATATAGAGTATTTTCTTTTTTTAGAAAAAAATGTTAGCATTAGTTTTGCTCCTGATGGGAAGACTCATCTCTCCTTCACATGGTTCTGTGCTCCTGCGCTGCTGCCACTACTGCCGTTGCCACTACTGCCGTTGCCGCTCCCGTTGCTGCTGCTTCCACTGCTGGTACAGAGGACCTCTGTGAGGTCATCCATGATGGTGGTTTCTTTAGGGTCCACCAGGTTGAACTCCCTGATGAATAGGATGAAGTGTGTGTAGAGTGTGTTCAAGTGTCCATGGAGCTCCAGTACCAAAGTTTCCTTGAAGTGTGAGGAATAGATGTGGGCCAGCACATGGAACAGGTATTTGCAGATCTTCTTCACTAGGGACTCAAAGGAGTTGGGAAATTCTTTACCTGCCAGGAGAGAGAGAAAAAGTGGTCATATGTTCACTGAGTTCTTGTTCCTCTTCCATGTAAGCGCCTTGGTGGATCAGAGCAAAAAGGATGACACAGCCCTTTTAATCTGTACCCACAGATTAAAGGAAGGAAAAGGGAATTTATTTGAATGTTCCTGCCTTCACCCACTTAAGTGTCTGTAAGACAAAGAAGCTTATGCTTGTGTATTTAAGCAGACTGCCAAGAAAACTCTCTCCTCAAGTTTTAAAGACCATTCTGAATAACAGAAACATTTACTTGTTTGTGAGAAATTATCTGCCATTTATTTGTATACAGTTACCTCATTCCTGTTGCCTGTTCACCTCATAAGTCCTACACCTGATTCCAACCTGACCATTTCCCCTCGAAGTTAAATTTGTTATTTTTGAACTACCATCAGCTTCTCGGGTAAGTCCTACACCTGATTCCAACCTGACCATTTTCCCTCGAAGTTAAATAAAACAATTTGTTATGCTTGAACTACCATCAGCCTCTCGGGTACCATTGTCAAACCAGGACAAAAGGAAGGATTTTAGTATATTCCCTCAGTTTCCTAGGCTGGGTCAGCTTCTATCAGTATACATTCAAATGACTGGGTGGGACAGCCAGAGAAAAAAAGAAGAAAAGGGGGAAAGGAGTTGCTCAGAGAAGAAAGAAGATAAAGGGAAACCTTGTGAGGGAGGGCAAAATCATCATAAAATGCTTGCAAAAATATTTAAATAATGACTGACTGGCTTTAGACTCAAAACATAAGTTTACTCATGCTACTCTGTATTACATCTCCTATGCATAGTGTAGAATATATACATACAAAAATGCAGGAAGTTTATGTCCATGGAGCTCCAGTACCAAAGTTTCCTTGAAGTGTGAGGAATAGATGTGGGCCAGCACATGGAACAGGTATTTGCAGATCTTCTTCACTAGGGACTCAAAGGAGTTGGGAAATTCTTTACCATATTTTGTAGGAAAGACATCTTCATCTGTCACTAGCTTCTGTACTGAACTCATGACAAAATCAACATACTGAGGGGCGGTGCACTTTATCTTCTTTCCCCGCTCATCATACCAGTAGTATTGTCTGTGGAGAGAATAGACAACAGTGAAATTTGGATCTTTAATTCCAGAGAGCTCAAGCCTGTTCAAGGAAGCACAGCCAACAGGTCATTTTAGCTCATTACTCTGATTCCACAGAGTCTAAGGTATGATGCTGCAAGTGTCTCACTGTCAATTGGAGTGCAGCAGCCTCTGTTAAGGATGCTGTGGCAGCAGATGCCAAATATCATGAGAGCCGACAGCAACTTTAGGCAGAAACTATTTGAATGGCCTGGCAAGTACAACCTTGCTGTTGTTTGCCTCTGTCACACAGCATCTCATTTGAAGAGGGTAGCCCGCATTTCCCATCACACACAAAAAAGGTCTGGCCCTTGAAGAGACGTGTGTTTTTTTGAATGCAGACGTCATGCCAGAGGTGCTTATCGGGAGAAAAAGACTACGTGAAACAGCTGGCCTTCCAAATAAACATATCCAAAAGAGCCCCCGTAGGCATCTCGGCAGATATTATTGTGAAGTTCAAGGAGCTACAGACTAGAAACAGACTTTTTAAAATAGCACAAGAAAAAACAAGGTCTGGCCCTTGAAGATACGTGTGTTTTTTTGTATGCTGACATCATGCCAGAGGTCGTTATCGCGTGACAAAGCCTACGTGAAACAGCAAAGACACTGAGAGAAAAAGAGATCCCTTACAGATGGCTAGCGCTTGGCCACCTGGTGGTCAATATAAATAATAAAAAGTTTTCAGCACATAATGAGACAATGGGTAAAAAGTTAGTGGAGGCTGTTATTAAACTGAAGGAAGGAGGTGTTTGAAGGGAATAATGTGTTCTGGCATTGATATTTAGGTTATAAAGTGAACATGAAAAAATAACTGAAAGTTGGCTTTATTAGTATAGGAAACGATTTAGACTTTAAATATTATTAAGCAAGAATGTTATACAAGTGTAAAGTGATAGATTAGGGTATTGCAAGGAGGCCCCCCCAAGACCTCCAGTATAGGGTGGGAGGAGATTTCCCCTCCCGCTGTAGAGTCCTTCTCTTCAGCACCCATAATTGGAGGCAACTCCTTCCAACTTTTTTTTTCAGGAACAGAAGAGGACAGGTAGTAGAAATTGATGCAGGAATGAACTGAAGATAAGGAATGTATTAAGGATAATTATAAGTTTTGGGGGAAGTTGTATGGGGACCTAATTAACGGGTAAAATAGGGGCATAAGAAAAGAGGAGGGATTAAATGAGATTAAAAAGGATTGGGTTGATGAAATAGCAACCTCAGAGTGGTTTTTTTTCTTTTTCTTTTTGCTTGGTTATTACCTGTGTGAAAAAGTTGAAAATGTGTATATCAATAAGATGGGTAACGATTTGTGTATATGTAGATTGATAGATATACTCAATAAAAATATTATTATACAAAAAAATGCTGTTTTAGCCACAGTTTGTACTACCACAACTGATGGCCCAGCTTTTTGCAGATCAATCGCCATAAAATATTTTATTGTAGACCCGAAGGTTTAATATAAGGCAAAATAGACACCAATTTTGAGGCTACTTAGATTTACGGGAATCACTACATGACTGAAAGACGAACTAGCGGCTTTTGCAAGACACTCTACCATAACAATTTTGCTTCCCCAAATATTAACAAGTCGGTATATTTATAATCTTTTGTTCCAGGTACCACTGCAAATAAATCTACCATATGAATCACACATTGAACTGTATTATTCCTGAATATATAAGAAAAAGCAATGTTTGTTCATGGCTTTAGATTAATCATCTCTTATTTCAACAGTAATTCAATGTGACTTTGAGCCCTGCAATTCACCGCATTCTATCTCCAGTCATACACAGTGGGAGCGCTGTCCCATATTCACATGCAAGATGTAAGACCATTGTATCTTACATACTGTGGAAATGTAAAATGCCTGATAAAGTATCATCACACAATTATAAGACAGACATTCAAGCTGCTAAACGTTTGATTTGCCTAGAGATGTAAAATTTCCAGAAATTCTGAAGCTCGGAAAAAAACCCATTTTCCCCCCACTTTTTTGGGGGGGAAAACCTGAAATTTTCGGAAAATCCAAGCAATTATTACAAACAGAATACCCACCCACATGCAAAAACAAAACTGAAACCTTTTTTATTTTCTTCTGACAATAGCACCTCCTAAAGGAAGAAATGCATCTTGTTCTTGCATTGGAGAGTTCAGTTTGTAACCTAGGACTTGCTTGTCCTCAGTGCACAGAAATTAGATCAATCTGATACCATATATATATAAGAAATGATTTGGAAAATATTTCAACACCTTGTCTTAAAATATTTTATTTGTCATGCTAAACTAAAACGTTCCATAATCAATTTTTTTTTCTTTTCAATTTTTCCAATTTTTCGGGAGGGGGGGGAAGGCTTCAGAGAAAAAAACGGGAAAAACTGGGTTTTTTTTCAATTTTTTCAATTTTTTTTCCGGGCCTTCACATCTCTAGATTTGCCACAAGGTGTTATGTCAGCCAATAAAAGTCCACAAGATGCAAAAGTTTAGTGTAATAGCATCAGCTGTCAAGAGATGGCACTATAATACCAGACATTTTAGTCACTCAGGCAAGAACTGAAGGAATGTCTTTCATGGATTTTTTTATTTTTTTTTGGCTGTCAAGTTGCAGCCAACTTATGGCAAATCCTCAGCTCATTGCCTCAAATAATTGCTATCAGACAGAAGCAACAAAGCATACAGACAGTCAACGATGATGATCAGGAGTAATGCTATTTGCATAGTGAAAAGTGTTGTGTCAGTAGCCAAAGGGGGCGGGGGAGCCATTGCCGTGGACATCATGCTATTCTCAGCAACTTTGCCCCACCCCCATTCATATCACAACAATCTCACTATTGTGCAATAACTCCCCTCACTTGTTCATGTGGACAAATGCTCCTTGACTGAGCTAGAGATTATTACCCTTTAGGTTCCCTGGCATCTCACGGCTGGAACAGTAAGCCTGCTCTACAAAGGGGCATGTTTAGTGTTCTTTCCATACTAGAAAGGCAAGACACAAGTTCCCAACAAAATTTAACACAAGTAGTTACTACAGATTATAAAGCTGCTCTGATTTTTAGACACAATCTAAAACACTTAGCACCCAAATGCTGGCTCTAATCATGAAACGAAACATTACTCTTGACATTAACAATTCTAGAAGCTTTTTGTGCTGAAGAAGCGTTCCCTACTAATATCAAGGAGAACTTTCCATATGAAGACGTATACAGATGGTGTGTGTCCAAGCTCCAAGGCACCACTGCCTAAATAAAAATGTAGCACCAATATCCCTGTACTACAGGTGACAAGCTGAAGCATACACATCATCTGATTACGATGCCGGACAATATAATATGAGAACGAGCCCTGACCTGGATAGCCCAGGCAAACCCGATCTCGTCAGATCTCGGAAGTTAAGCAGGGTCTACAAGGCTATTTTAGGAGGACATAAAGTATAAGATTGTTGTTGTTGTTCAGTCGCACAGTTGAGTCCGACTCGTGGTGATCCCATGGATCAGATCCCGCCAGGCCCTCCTGTCTTCCGCCGTCCTCTGAACTTTGCTCAACTTCATGTTTGTTGCATCTATGAAACTGTCTAACCATCTCATCCTTTGCCGTCCCCGTCTTCTTTGACCTTCAATCTTTCCCAGCATCAGGGTCTTCTCCAGTGACTGCTCCCTTCTCATTGGGTGGCCAAAGTATTTGAGCTTCAACTTCAGTATCTGGCCTTCCAGGGAACAGTCAGGGTTGATTTCTTTTAGGACTGACTGATTTGATCTTCTTGCTGTCCAAGCGACTCTCAAGAGTCTTCTCCAGCACCATACAGACGGATTAAAAGAACTTGATTCATTAGATACACGTGAACCAAAATGTAACAAGAGTATAGACTCCTGCTTTTGTATTTTCTACTCTGTTCTTTTTCTTATCTTTTTCCTTTCTCAGTCTTTAAATATGAAACTAATAAAATTTCTTTATTTAAAAAACGGAAGTTAAGCAGGGTCAACTCTGGCAAGTACTTGGATGGGAGACCTTCTTGGAATACCAGAGGCGGGGGCAGGCGTTATTCAACCACCTTCTCTGAATATCCTCCAGGCCCC